GAATTTGGCTTCAGTAAACTTTTTACGGTGTGAATAACACAAATTAGAACTGCTTAGCACTTTGTAAACGAGTTAAACTTTGGAAATTCTTTCAAGCGAAAGTTTAAGTGACCGCACAGTACGAACGTTGCCAGAACGAAGTTGTTGAGATATTTTTGACAGTAAATTGGCGGCGTGCATGAATAGGAGTGTTCGCTATGCAAATGCCAGTAAGAATTAGCCAGTAAAAAAATTCAGAGAACAAGTTAGCTTACTCTCCCAAAGAGAGAAACTTACTAAGTTTTGCGCGAACAGGAATTAGCAAACATTAGCAAGATTCACTGCCAGCTGGCGTCCACGGTTGCATTTCGAGCATAATACATTTTTTAAATTATTTCAGGTGGAAACCAAAACAGGACCTATACGTATATTTCTTCTTATTCTAACTTTCTTCAACATACGCTTCAATTTCATTGTGGAAGTCACTGTCGGATTTCCTATATCGACAGTGGTGTCGAGTGCGTTCCGATTACGAATACGGTTTTTTCAGCCGAGTACCTTCCAAATGTTTGGAATTAATTGAATAAACGAACATTTACCTACTTCTTTCATGAGTAAATCGCAACAAGATTGTTCATTTTTAAATTCAACGAACTTGTTGATTCAAATTAATGTTGATAAAAATGCAACCGTGTGCCACAACCCTGCTTGCAAATTCTTACTGGCATAAATTTTCCCCAACACGAATTTGCAAACTTCCCCTCCAAATGAAATGTCAAAATTGTTTTACTGGGTTTTTGGCTAAACGAACACGATTTGGTAACAATTGGTACCAACTTGTACAAATTTTGTGCATAGCGAACACTCCTAATATTAGGTTAGCCTGTAACCCTATGGTTGTTCACCATCATAGTAGCCACCTGGCTAGAATCCATGTGTTCTACTCTCACCCCTTGTTGCGCTGTTGTTACTTTACTCGTGTTCGAATTCATGACTTTTTTTGCCACTTTGTTATATCTTATCTTGGTTAACGATCTATTCATATCTTCTTGAGTATCCCTCACGTTTCCTCCTCCCAATTCAAGAAAATTGCCATCGTAATCTTTTAGTAACGAAAACCTATTCCCAAGTCCATATTTTTGTCTATACTCGTTGTATGTGATATTCTCCATAGTCAGAATCTTTTGTACTTCTTGACGTTGTGCCCGTTCAGGGCATGTTTTAGGAAGTGATGAATGATTAATCGCGCCACATAGTAGACATTTAGTGCTTTCGCAATCCCCCACACAACGTGGGGTAGCACCGCACTGCAGAAACCTAGCTTCCCTAGCTTTACAAAAACTGGCAATGTGGCCAAGCCTACCACATTTACGGCATTGTTTTCCCGCATGTACAAAGAAATCTACTTCACAAATGCATTTGCTTAGCCTTATTTCCCTCGGAATATTATTTCCTTTAAAATCAATTTTGATACAAGTCGTATAAATGTATTCTTCACCCTCACACCTGGTCAAACGCTTGACTGACACAACTGGAATACTGCTTTCAATATTGTTCATTATGAATTCATCGCTATATTTGAACGGTACCTTTCTTATAATTCAATATTTCTCAACCAACGACCGCGGTATATATGCATTTAAATTCTTGTTAGTGAAGTCATTATTTTTGATAAAATTATTAGAATTAACGCCGCTGTCGAATAATAGGTGCAATCCCGTATTCCTCGGAGTCGGACTAGTAAAACTGTCAAAAAATAAAAATTCGCTCAGAGCGGGAGAGTAACATTGAAAAGTACGGGATCGATTTCTAGTAAAAAATGGTAACTTCTGTCAACTTCAACATAACCTCCAAAATTTGGTTGTAAATTGTTGCTTATTTTGTATGTAAACACACTCAGCTCACACATGTAAATACTTTCAAATTCATTAGAATCCACTTTAACAAGTAATTCAATACTTTTCAACATGAATTAGCAGAGTGCACTTTTCTTTTGTTTACAATTTGGTTACCAAACACACTACAGCTGATCGTTTGACACATTTACCAGAATTTACCAGCAAAAAATTCCCGGACTAAAACTGGTAACTTCTGACAGGGAGAGAACGGTACTTACTCTCTTTTTTGTCCTCTCAATAGTCAGAGAACCGAGTACGGGATCGATTTCCAGTCAAATCTGACTGATTCTGACTATTTCTGACTAGTACGGACTCGTACGCGATCGCAACTAATAACTTTGCTCCATTTCCTATAGCTGTTAAATCTTCGAGTCCTATCAAGGAAAGGTCATCGATAATTTCCATAAAAAAAAAACATATTAGAGAAGATTCGCTTCCTCAAGCCATTATTATCCGGTAACACTCCCAAAAATACAATAAATTTAACTTTATCTTCCTGCATATAAAAATATGGCTGTTTCTCGACACGTGATAGGTAGTAGTGCATGCATTGCATTATTGAGGTTATGTTCTACCGGGGCCTCGCTGTTCGTAAGACTTACCTCTTGGATTAATATTTCCTTAACCGCCATCGATGCATTTTTATTTTTATAATTTTGACTTCCCTGATTATTTTTCCTTTTTTTCCCCATGATTATATATTTTTCTGGGTCTTCCCCATCTTCCTCCATCCGGAGGATGGTCACTTACAAAATAGAAATCTTCTCACTTAACTTAGGATTAAAAAATGTACACCACATTGCATTCTCAACCGCAGTGTTGCGCGAATTATTAAAGTATAGCGTTCGGTGTGAATTTCTAGCAATGTATTATCAGTTGGGTAGTTGCAACAATGTTGCCATTCTTCATCAGTACTGCAGTAATGCCGCTTGTATTACGTGCCTCGAACAGGCGCAATAACTTTGATTAGGGTGGCCGCCTTTTCAAAAAGTCTTATCGATCTAATTAATTGCGTTCCCTACCTCGCAAGAATTTGTAAGAATTTACAGGAATTTACCAGAAAACGTTCCCGTACTCGGTTCTCTGGCTTCTTTTGCCTTTTGACAGTTTTACAGGTTTTAACCCAGAAAATTTGGCGAACGCAACTGTTAAGTATATTAGCTCTGATCCAATACTTTTCGTGAAAAAGCCTGTAAAACTGTCAAACAGCAAAATTACTCTCTGAAGTGAGAGTAAAAAGTGAGTAACAACAAAAAGTACGGGAACAAAAAAACTATTTTTCCTGTAAAAACGTCAACCAGTGATCGCTTGACACTTTTCATGATTTTAGCAGAAGAAAAAGTTCGGGTAAAATCTTGCAACTTCATTCTCTACACAACTCTCCAAAAATCGCTCTCATTTACAGAATTTTGGAGTACGGGATCATTTTTCCTGTAACTTCCTGCAAGTTCGTGTAAAACCCGTAAGTTCATGGATCAGAGCTATTATACGGGAAGGCACCGTTATTTCGAATTTCAAAAGTGAGCGGCCAAATTAAAGACCTTAAGGCCGGTCCACATAGAACTTTCGCGTTGGCTTGACAGAACGCACGTTAAAAGTATGCTTGCCACAATGAACACTTGGCAGCGAATGCTTGGGCCACTAAATTAACATACCAACGACAGATAAATTAATATTTCATATCAATAATTGCATTAAAAACGATATTTCTTGCCCGCACTTGATTAAAAAGGAAAAATATTTCACGTAATTTTATTTATTTGCAACAGCTGACGAGCGACGCACGCGAAAAGATGAGTTGGCCATCTTTTTGCTTTGTGTTGGCGTGAGCGTTGCCGAATTTTGGCTACGTGGACGGCTGCATTTGAATTCATGTATTCATAGTCAGCTGTTGAAGCGACGCTAACGCCAACGCAATGCCAAAGTTCTATGCGGACGGGCCTTTAGTCTATAGATTTGCGATAAAGTTGTATATTTTTAATTAAGAACGTTTTTTTCGCAATAGGGTAGTTTGAAATTTGATGAAATTAGGTGCAATCCCGTATTCCTCGGACTCGGACTAGTAAAACTGTCAAAAAATAAAAATTCGCTCAGAGCGAGAGAGTAACATTGAAAAGTACGGGATCGCTTTCTAGTAAAAAATGGTAACTTCTGTCAACTTCAACATAACCTCCAAATTTTGGTTGTAAATTTTTGCTTATTTTGTATGTAAACACACTCAGCTCACACATGTAAATAACCAAAAATACTTTCTAATTTATTAGAATCCACTTAAACAAGTAATTAAATACTTTTCAACATGAATTAGCAGAGTGCACTTTTCTTTTGTTTACAATTTGGTTGCCAAACACACTACAGCTGATCGTTTGACACATTTACCAGCAAAAATTTCTCGGACTAAAACTGGTAACTTCTTACAGAGAGAACCGTATTTACTCTCTTTTTTGTCCTCTCAATAGTCAGAGAACCGAGTACGGGATCGATTTCCAGTAAATTCTGACTGATTCTGACTAGTCCGGACTCGTACGGGATCGCAACTATTAAAAACCTCTCTTCACTGAGATTTATATGAAATATGGCACTTGGATCGCTTATAATTCTGACTCACCATTTGGAATATCTTTTAGGGGTTTGAAATTCAATTTTGGGCGTTTAAACGCCATACGGGTTCACTAGTTTATTATGGTACTTTAAGCCAGATACGTATAACATCACAAAACAAAATGTAAAAAAAGTATAAGAGCTTATAACATCGAAAAAATCGGTACTTGAAATAAATCACTTAGTAGCCTCTTGTTGCTCAAAGACAGGATATTTTTCCATCACTTGATGCCACTTAAGCTTTCCAATTGAGAGATCTTTCAGAACATCGATAACTTCGTTGATTCCGAGGCGCACCTGCTTAAGAGAGTCTCGATCACGTAACGTCACAGTATGTGGCTCCTTCAGTGTATCAAAATCAATAGTAATTCCAAACGGAATAGCGATTTCATCGGTACGGGCATAGCGACGACCAATGGATCCACTCGAATCGTCGACTTTGTGCGAAAGTTCTGCCTTGGTTAACGCAGTTGATAGCTGACGTATAAATGGATTAAATTCAACATTGTTAGATAATGGCAGTATAGAGCATTTAAGAGGCGCCACTACTGATGGTAGTGTAAAGTAGCAACGCTGTTCGTCCCCCTCACGACATTGGAAATTTTGCTCAAGCAATGCGTACATAATGCGACCTATACCAAAAGATGGCTCTATTACACTTGGTGTTATTTCCTCTACATGCACGGTTTTAGTACTGTGTTTTACAGAAATAGTATCCGGTGTCAATTTGAACTCGCTGCCATTATCAAGGCTGAGCAAAAATTCTTTTTTATCTTTCAATGTTTGCTCCACTTCATTTACGGCGCTTAATGATAGTGCAGCTAGTGCTTCGGTAATAGATTTTGCATCCTTTTTGAATGTTTTTCCCAGTGTTTGTTTATTAGGCACTATTTCACACACCTCCACTGTTTTGGGATCAGGCAAACGTTTCTCTGCCACTAATCTTATACCAGTGGCTTGGCTGTGCTGGCCCAAATCGTAAGCGGATCGATCAGCACAGCCGACACATTCCACCCATCCATAGCTTGTTAGGCATTCCGCATCCCAACAATCACAAGCATAATGCGCCATTTCGTTGTTCATGTGTTGGCGGAACCGCAGACACTCTGCTTTTATACCTATCATTAGAAGGAATTGATGAATTCTTGTCATGTAATATCCAAGTGTTTCGTTTGCAACTAGACTATTTTTTACAGCATCCCCAATTGTTATTTGCTGCGCTGATTTTCCATCCATTTGATTGCATGCCGAGTAAAGAGTTAAACGAGTTTCTGCAATGCTTTGAAACTTGGCATGATTCTTAAGAGTAGGATCACAAAAATGCTCAATTTCAGCCATTGTAAACTCACGGACACGAATAAGTCCAGAGCGTGGTGAAATTTCATTACGGAATGAATTGCCTATTTGAGCAACTGCGAAAGGTAGTTTACCTTGATTGAATTCAAGTAAACGCTTGAAATTTACAAAAATTCCTTGGGCTGTTTCTGGACGCAGAAATCCTTTGACCAATCCTGTAGGTCCAATTTGAGTTGCAAACATCAAATTAAACTCAATAGGTTCAGTTAAGTCATTAGCCGTAAGTGGAGACTTTATATTGTACTTCGATAGTACATCAGACATCTCTTGCTTGTTCATACCATCAAGTTTAATAACAATGTCCTCACACTCAGCCTTCAATTCTGCGGTTGCTGCTTTGTCTTTTGACAATTTTTCCAATGCATTTTTTATTAAATGGTCGAGGCGAAAGCATTCTCCAGTTTTGACATCCTTCACCATTAAATCAGCAAAACGATCTACATGCCCTGAAGACTTCAGAACGGGTTCTGGTGTTAATATTGAACAATCCACCTCAAGCATTTGCTCCTCCAATACAAAGAATTGGCGCCACAATGAGAGGATATTTGACTTCAGGGCACAGCCCATTGGGCCAAAGTCGTATTGGCCTGTTATACCACCGTAAATCGCAAAACTTTGGTCATAGAAGAAACGTCGCTTTAGCAAGTCCTCCATTTTCGAACGATCGAACGTAACAACACTAGGAGTGAGTTCCAGTTCGCGATCTTCTAACAACTTTTTGCGGGATTTTAATTCAGCTACAGCTCGTTTAAGGTCAATTTCTGGCGCTCCTTTCACTTTCAGCTCGCGCACCAAATTTCCCTGCTCCAGCACTGCAGCGCGCAGGGGGGCTAATTTAGCTTCAATCTCAGGATTACTCATTATGTCGGTGAGGCGTAACCTAACCTTTCGTTTGTTCTTTTTTGTGCCCCAATCAGTCTTAGCTGCTCCTTCTGCTGAAGTAAAAGACGGTGCTACAGGTTCTCTGTGGCAATTACCAATTGGGTCAGCTGTAACGTGCGTAACACTGAATCGTGCTTTGTTGGCAAAGTTGAAGAGGCAACTAATGCAATTGGTCGTATTCGGCTTCAAAGATCGCGGCCGGTATTTCCACAATCCTGCTGTAACAGAGCGAAGGGGCTCGAACGCTTTCACTACCTGCAACGACATTAATAGTATCTTCACTTAAAACACCATTTTAATTCATTTTTACGGCAGACAATTTTTTGCAATACCCACCGCTTATGTGAAGTAGGGACACAACCACAATATAACCAGTAAACAACCTTCGGTGAATTTGGTGACTGCCTTCCTCGGGGATGAATATGCTAGGGATGAAATTATTGGTACACACGCCTTCCAAGCACGCAGGGTTGCTTTTAATAAAAAATAATAATTAACTCCAAATAGTTTCAAAAAGTATAGTGTAAAAAGAAATTTATTGAATAATTCAACATAAAATGGTATACATAAATGACGCATTTTCTAAACGATTTAAATTAAACGCATTTGAGAATTGATAGAAAAGTACTACGGATTGTAAATTTTTGTTAACTATGAGGTGAATGAAAATTTTCAACCCGGCCTGATGGTTTGATTTTATTACTAAGGCGTCTAATAAATTCATGGCTTTTAGTTCTAGAAGAATAAATGTCAGTAAAGACAAGTCTGTTTTGTATAATTTCAGATTTTAATTGCTCAACTTCTTTTGAACCAGAGCAACTGTCAAAAATTTCCAGCAGTAAAAAGTTACGAATTGGCACAGCAGAAATGTAAAATTTTCTCGCCATAATAAAAAGTTTTTTCAACATGTAACTTTTCTACTAATTGACATGAAATTACTACCTCAACGCTCGGAGCGCTGCCACTGAGGGCCTTTGCCAACTGATTAAAAAGAGAAAATTTGGAAAGACCAAACAAAAATTTTGAGATTTCTCGTTGTGAATACGAATGCCATAGTTTTTACCTAGCTCGTGGGACTACGCAAAATTTTGACAGCTTGTAAATATGTATACACATAAAGTTGTTGGCGGTAATAAGGAGTCAAAATTAAAATGGAGAAAAGAACAAAAAGCGTAGGTTAGTTGTCAGTTATAAAATAAATCCAATTTATTTGCGAATATTTGTTTATTCTTTTTATTGAAAGGCAACCACTCGGAAAAGCTTATGTTAATTATATTGATAAGAGAACCTGGCAGCTCGCACGTTGTCTAAATTCTCAAGTAACGTAAAGTCCACAAAAGAATAAGTACGCCATGTATAAATTTTAACAATGCACAAAAATAGAGCTTTCGCACGAGTGTTTGTTTGGTTTTTCAACACCATTTATAATTTTCTTTTAATAAAATCACGATTTGACAAATACTTAAATTTATTTATCTAATAAAAATAAAGCACACAACCCTGAAATCTAAGAAAAAGTCTGAAAAAGGCCATTAAATAGCAGCACACAACCCCGTGCCTTCCTCAGGGGTGAATATAACTAGAACAACAACGACTACTACAACAACAACCCAAAAAGGTTGGTTACTGTCTATACTGTGGACAAAACATGAGGCAATAATACAAGTAGTGTTGTTGCGATTCGAGCATTGTTCTTCTTCAAGTACTGAGTACTTTTTGTACTCGAATACTTCCCGTAAGTACTTTGGTGGGTATCGAGTACAAGATTAAAGTATTACTTGCTTTTCCAAAAATTCTGAATTTCGGTTCTGACAATATATGAATCATGCTGTTGTGGTTTTTGCACTATGTTAAGTTGGCTAATAAAGAAGGTGTAAATTCCTGCTTTCCCGCATTAGACAATTATTAAAATTTTGCAAGATACAAACTTGCGGCAACTTTTTCGGTAAGTTTTGGTCGGAGAGTACTCGAACCGATTCTGTTTTTCTTTACATGACATAAGTATTTACAATGAGGGCCTGTGCCAATCGGTAACTTTTTTCTCCGTGGTGAGACGGGGTGGAAAAATTTGCTATGGTGTACAAATAAATTGAATTTGCTGTGCCAAATCCAGAGTAAAATTTTGACAGTTGAAAAACCAAACAAACGCTCGTGCGAAAGCTTTATTTTTCTGTGTTGCGGAAATTCTTAAAATTTATATTTATTTTATAATTGGCAAGTAACGTACGCTTTTTTTATGCTGTTTCAGCTTTCATTTTCATGTTCACTCCTTATTACCGCCAAGCAATATTATGTGTATACATGGTTATAAGCTGTCAAAATTTTACCTAGCCCCATGAGCTAGCTAAAATTTTGACGTTCGTATTCACCACGAGAAGTGTCAAATTTTTACTTTGATCCGTCAAAATTTTCTATTTTTTATCAATTGGCACAGGGCCTGAGTTCGATATGAGTAGGTATCGAGTACTTCTCTCCGATACATTTGTGGCAACGATACTTTTCTTCAATGTTTTTAAAGAGTACAGGTATCGAGTACAAGGGCGTATNAACCATGGGCGCATCCAAGATTGATAGAATACAAGATTGCGCCGATCAGAGAGGATTTTTGAGAATAACTTTTGTGTCACGTCACACTGGTGCAACTGCGAGAGAGAAATGCCAAAACGTGAGCAAGAATGGAAGAAGAAGAAAAAATGTTGCAAGGAAAACGTAAACAAGTTGCACAAGTGTGACGTCATGCAAACAACGATTCTGTCAAATTCGTTAAGAGAGGAATAGCGGTCCGAGATCGGCGCAACCTTTGTATTCTCTCAATCGTGGCGTATCGGAACAACACTAAATACAAGGTGTTATCAGTTGGCAACTTCTCCCTCTAAAGCTGAAATTAGTCAAGAACGTAAACCTTCCGGTACGTAAACCCGAGTCAGCTGACACGATCTGTCTTACCAAAGCGCCATGTAAATGAAAACTCAACACCGCGGAATTTTAGATTTTTCCGTGTCAGCTGATTTCATCTTCTTTAGATGGTTGCCACTTCGTCAGTTTTGCAGATGGTAAAAAAGTTATAAGTTCCTATTCAAAATATGTTTAAAATATCTGAAATTTACTATTGAATAAGGTTTTTGTTGAAAACTAAGTAGTTTATATTTAGCTAAAATCTATTATAGCACGAAAAATTGTAGTTGAAAGGGTAAGTTTATGAAAAGGCATTGAAGAGTGGCAACAGTGTAGTAAGCAACACTGAGGGCTCCAGTAATCGACAAAATTCTGCGTATACAGACTGCGTTTAAGTATACGTTCTGCGTTCTCGACTAATTTTAGCTTAATTCCGCCATATTGACTGCCTTACGTGAAACAGTGTTACTTCTTTAACTATTCTTTGCCCATTAATATAGTGGAATGTTTTTAATTTTTTCTCAGTATACACACTTTGATTTCTTAAAAAGGTATATTATCTTATTTTATTTCATTTCATATCGAATATACTATAAAAAAGCAAATTTTGTTTAGGAGAAGATGTGAAATTTTATATTTTCCCACATATGGGGATTCATTTCTTCCCGTTTTTCTTCTCATTCTACTAAGCTAAGGCAATGCCAAATCGAGCTGTCACAACTGATACCACCTTGTATTATTGCAGCATGGGAACAAAACGATACTAGGAACAGTGCTGCCAGAACTTTTTGGACGAACCGGCTAAATTAGCAAATAAAACCGGCTAAACACGGTTACAATGTTTCAACTAAATTTCACATGTTTTATTTAAATAAATCACGAGTAAAAAGACTATTTCTTGAAGAGAAGTTTCAAATTCGAGCCGGAAAAAATTTTGCCAGCAAGAATTTGCAATTAAGAAAAGCATATGATTGTGGCACATGGTTGGATTTTTTGTCGACGATAATTTGAATACACAAGTTCGTTAAATTTAAAAATTTACAAACTGGAGCGTTTTTAAAATGAAAAATGTAAGTTAATACTTGTTTACTCAAATAATTTAGCTAATTCCAATGATTTGAAAGGTACTCGGCAAAAAAAACTGTATTCTTAATCGGAATGCAATCTCAACCATTTTTCACTCATTTTTCTTACTATCTGATATTTTGAGTGATAATTCTCGCTGGATTTTCGACGAACACACCTATTCAGCCTTATCATGAGTTTAATTTTCCCCGAACCGGTTCACTTTTTACTTTTGGTTTCCATGGTTTTACTATGGGCGGATGACAAATTTTCGGGTGAATTTTTTTTTCAGGCGAAACTCAGGATAAGGCAGATTGTCTTCCCTACAAGGCCTTTTCAGACTGACCGATTCTCAATACACTCAAATAGAAACCAATACACATAAAAAACACTGTAAAAATGTCCCTTCAATTTTAAGGCAGTAAAACAACGACCTTAAGTTAACATCAACCGAGGCCATATGTTGACAAGGGATGCAAAATCACAGTTGCACAAAAGAACTGGTCAGATTTTTCAGAAATCCCTTCAATTCTGATGTAAAATATGATGCCAAAAAACTGCAGATCTCCCATTTAGATGACCGGTCATATGACCGGCAGATGTCTCGTAAGATTCCCAGAGAGTTTTACTTTACATAAAAATTTGTGCGAAATCGGGATAATTTCATACAACCCTGCCTGACATGGAAATATTCTCCACGATAAGGCTAGTAGCTATTTCTAACAGATTTGGGTCGCTTAGTCAAAAATGTAAACATATATACATATTTGAAATTTAAGAAACCAAGGCAAATAGCAAAATCGGCTAAAATCGGCTAATTTTTTCTGCAAAACGGCTAACAAATCGGCTGCCGGCTAAATCGAAATTTCTCCGGCTGTTTTCTATCGCAACCGGCTAAATCTAGCCGGAAAACGGCTAAATGGCAACACTGACTAGGAAATACACGTACATACTCAATACTTTTCGTTCGATACCAAGTAATTGTGGTATCGATACTTGCGAACCGAGTGCTGAGTAGGTATCGGAAGAAAGTACATGTATCGAAACCCGGTTCAGTGACAATTTTATTCGCGGATTTTTTTAAATGTAATTTTCATTGTTAGTTGTTAACAAATTTTGGCAGCTTAGTTGCCAATGAAAAGAAAGTCCTACAAAGAAACACCTGTTTTTATCTCTATAACATATCGCTAGCTTAAAGTGAATAGTTACTAAGTCCACTTTTTGTGTAAGCTCATATTTGGATATAGGAAGCAAGGTGAATTAAAAACGCAACGTCTCCAAAAAGATTAACTAACGTGCTTGTTTTATTTCTACCCGTTTGTATTCAATTAAAGCCAAATTTACTAAGTCCAAGAGGGGCACAGAAAAATCGGCAAACTCTCAAAACATTCTAAGGGCCGGTTGCTCAAAGCCTGGTTGACACTAATCCCTGGTTAAACATCGTTATCGAC